CAATAAACGTACAAAAGGTTTTTTTAAAACAAACTCTTGGCATTTTATTTGTTATTGGTTGGTTTAAAAATTTGCGCGGTCATATTTCAAAATTTTCACGAAAAAATTTTTTTCTTGAATGACGCTACATCATTTTCATCGTTCGTCTATTATCTGAAAATCGTGCTTATATAATTTCGATTTCTTACTTTTCTAGTTTTTATCTATCAAATCTTACTATCTTGATTTCTTGAGAAAAAGATTTTCAGAGCTCATCAGACAATGATTGTGAACTGCTAACAATCCTCACTTATGCTCCTCAAGTTCAATTTGTTACTGCCACAGTGAAAAGAGCTAAGGCACTGCCGTATAATAATGGTAAGGGAATTAAACTCTCTATTTCGCGATTCCCAAAAGTTTCTCAAATTTTTTAGCGCCTTTTGCTCGGATAATGTTGTTCGATGGTAGACGACTTGTAGAGCAAAAACAAACGACAGTTAATCCTTCCGTCGGCCACAAGTCTTCCTTAGAGTGAGTTTTCCTAAAGGTTAAGCTAACCTCAGAAACATCTTCATTTCATCAGTTTGAAGCGATTTTTCTTCAGTACATCGTCGAAGCCATCCTCTTCATCCGTATCATCTTCGTTGAGCTCCTCATCCGGTGATGCATCCTTCTCTGAGTCCTTTCTCTTCCACGTGACCCCGGTAAAATTGGATCGATGTCATATCGTTATAGAAGTAAGTTTCAATCATAAAAATTACTCAGGATGATTTTACCATAAAGCGTGTAGAATAAAAAGTAAAGAGAACGTGGAAAATTGCAAAGAAGGAAAGACAACATGATGATGATGTGGTCTTGTTTGCATCGGAACCTTATGTATTTTGAATTACTCAATCACGGACGAAAACTTTACATAAATATATTTTGTCAGGACCTAACATTTAAATTTAGCAGTGTAGCATAAATAATTAGGCTATTTAGAATGGTTTCAGGGAAGTCAGGGTAGGAAGGAAAGGAGCTAAATTAAATAGAGCTTTTTCGAGAGGTATCATATAAGAGTTGTTTCATTTTAGTTAGGTTAGAAAAAAGCGTACGTTTACAAGTACTTTGTTTACTCAACTATCAGTAAGGATATCTTGCTGTAACCTCTGAATATATGCAATACAATACTTTGATGCAAAAAAGATGATGACCAGGCTGTTTCTTACCGCAGTCGACATGAATTAAAATGTTCGTGGTACGCTATATAACAATATATGTAGATTAGAGAAATGGCATTTTATTCTGGAATATTACACACAATTTATGTTAAAATCACAAAAGATTAACCCCTTTCCCTTTGAATGAGTCAGGGTATATGATTACTTTTTGCCCTACCAGAAAACCAAACAAACTAGAGGAAAATTTTGCAAAAAATCCAGAAATTTCAGATGTTTGACCATGACAGTTCCAATCAACCGCTTTCCGTTGGACATTGTGTTATCGGTCGAATGGGCGACATTACGGGTCACGCTCATTGGATACAAATGATCAAAAAACATGGTCTACCCGTATGTATGTGGCACCGGATTGGCGTCAATTGACGAAACTCTTAGCGCACTATGTGTGCGCCATATGTACTAGTTTACTGATGATTTTTTGTTGTACAGTATAATTTGCCAAATTTACTTCTGTGTCAAAAATTCGCATTTTCCCAGTATCTTACAGCTTTTGATCATTTGATCTACAAATTTACCGGATCACCTATAGTGTTGCCTAATACCAGTGCTAAACCT